CATCTGACCAACCAAAAAAAGAAGAAAAGGGGGGGGGGGGGGGAAAGGAAAGAAAGGAAAGAAAGAAGAAAGAAAGGGGGGGGGAAGGGAGTTCCACCAATATGAGGAAAGTAGCAGGAAAAAATAGCTAAGAATACTCTTCACAGTTGGCTAGCCCCTAGGTAGAAAATGACCATTTATCAAATGACTTCAGAGAAGATCTATTAAGCCCATACAAGGTCAAAGTAGCTCAGACTGAACTCTCTTACCTACTGCAACAGAGTCTTTGTCTCTGAAGATTAAAAATCAAACCCCAACCAAACCACATATTGACAAAGATTATGTTACTACACAGTGGGGCAAATATGTAGTAGCACGGGAGGTGGAATGGAGTTTAAAACAAGTGTGTGTGGGCTGCACAGCAACACCATTAACATAATTAATAGCCTATATTGTGACCATATGGTTCTTGAGAGGTCTAATGATCGACCTGGATGTTCCAGCAAAGGAAAGACATTATTTTTGAAAGGATGCAGATACCCATGGATCCTTTGTCAGATTCTGCTGTGACAAAATATTATATTCATTTCTCCTTGGAGATAATCATCTGTGATTTTGAAAGAAAAGTGTCATGTCAATAAATAAAAACAAAATCATTTTAAAACTATTGTGGCATTGTTGTTGGCTTTAAATGGAGCAATCCTACCATCAATTTTCTGTAACATTACTGTATCTATTGTACAGTATGCAGTAAATGCATAATCATTACTCGAGTAACAAAGAAGCCCTATTTCTATTTCTTAGATGGAAATTAGAAGATAATGGGCAGATCAATCCTATATTCCAATATACTATGAGAGAAAGACATAACTAATGTTTGTCAGTTGGATATAGGAGAAGTAAGTCCATTCACACAGACAAGATAAATGAATCCCCCCCCCCTAAAGTCCTCCCCTACCACTAGTATCGCCATGCAGAACTTGGAAAAGTTACCTTTTTGGCTACAGTTCTTGGAATGGCCTTGCTGGCTCTAGAATTTGAGTTGCATGGTAGTGCAAAAAACCTTCTGTAAGCTTTGTCCACACACATTATTAAGAATTCTATCTATTTAAGCACCACTTTCCAGGCAGATTTCAGAAAGTATAGATAAGATGCTTAAAAATCGTTAAAAAAAATCAGTGGAAAAATATGCGTTGAAAAGTAGAACAGACAGAAAGCCACGTGCCTCAAAGGAGGGACCACTGGCTCCAGTTGCTTCAAGCTCCCCATCCTCCATCCGCCCAAATTAGCATCCCATCCTGAGATCGGCTGTAAGCAGTGAGAGGGAAAAGGATCTATGTGGCAAGATCAAATGCCTCATTCTGGCAACCCAACAGGCAAACAGGAAAAATGGGTGCACTGTAGCTCCATCCCCTGCCTCACAGGTCCATAGGGAGTGTCAGCAACATCCTGTGAATCCTCCCTGTGTTCTGGAGGTGGTTGGTTTAGGCAAATTGCAAATTACTCCCCTTCTGTGCAAAGTAACCTTTCTTTCTCCATCGCTTCCCATCATCAGTTATTCCTTAGGTTAACAATATGATGCCAGGGAGATACAGCCATGTGCCATATATGCTTATGATCTTGTCATGACAATCTCCCTTTGGTGGCTTTATAGGCTGGAGGTGTTGTGCTGTGAATGAATACTTACTTGTTTGCCCTGTGTATCCTTTACCCTGCTGTGGGAACATGGGCAGAATGGCATGTGTGTCCAGGAGTTTTCTTTTTGGTGACAGGTAGGAGAGCTGATCACTTGTTCTGTTATCAGTGTAAAGTTCCATCACATAATAATAACATAATTTATTGTCATTGAATGGATATACACTGTATACACATACAACGAAAGTCACAAAGAACAGCCAGAAAACACACACTCATAACAATCCTAAAACCCAGAACCCCACCTACGAGCACACAGTATCCACATTGGGGGGAATCTTCAGGGTCTGACCAGAAGAGAGGCCTATAGTCCAGAGGTATCATCCTAAAATGGCTCAGTGAGGTGTGCCAACGGCGGGCCCCTGGGCCGCCAGTACTGAAGGGGCATAGGACTTAGATTTAAGTCTACTTCTCCTATGTCCCAAAACAATGCCCAGAAAGGGTGTGTGTTATTAGAGTACTTGTGAGTATTAAGCTTGTTCCATGTGGTTCAGAAACTCTTTCACCAAGGGCAATCTGAGCAATGGGTCTGCTTATTGCTGAAAATGACTTGAAGCAACCAGGTTTCTTAAAGTTTTTTCCAGCGTGGTTGAAATGCATAGGGGAAGTTTTAATAAACAATGGGAAAAAGAACAAAGAAAAGACCCATTTTGTTTGTTTCTAGTGCCAATGTTCTTCTTTACTTTTCATCAGTAGTTGTGTTTCAAGTCGTTGCTATTTTCTATCAGTAGTATATACATACATATCTGAAATACAGTATCTGACATTTTTTCCTCTGACATTTATTCCTACACTCTAATCCTGCTTTCCATATAATATGCATATAAACTGAGCAGACGGGGAGATAGAGTGCATCACTGTCAGGCATTTTCGCAATGGGAAACCACTGTTTCTCTATATTCTAACACTACCTTGTTCAGAGTACAAATTCACAGCCAGACAATCAAATTTTGTGGCACATCCATTTCTTTTGTAATGACCCCTTTTTTTGATTCACAGTTAAGTTTCATTGTCATCTGTAAAGCATGGGGAGGTTTTCTGAAATTCTTTTTCTGCACTTTTTACTTTTGCCTCCCGTTTTAACAGTTTAACCAAATGTCCTCTGAGGTTTTTATTTTCTTTTGATTACAACCATCGTTTCTTTCACTGACAGTGTCTTTTGGTCCTTCCGCAAGCAGGTGAAGACCTTTCTCTTCAAGTAGGTTTTCCCTGAGTGGCTGGCTGCCTGAGTGGAGAATTTAAATGTGTTACTGCTTTGAAAGTGCTTTGGTGTTGCTTATGTTTTTGCATGTTATTTGTTTGATTTTTTTTTAGTATTTCTATAATCACTGTTGTTGGCTTTAATACTGTCTTTTAATGATGTAAGTCACTATGGGTCCTTTTAATGAGAAAGGTGGAGTAAAACTATTTTAAATACACACATACACACTGTTCTTCTAGCTCATGGTCAATTGGGTTTAGTGATACAAACATGTTCTTCACATAGTTTTTGAGTTCTTCAGGAAATCTTATTGGAATTGTTTTTGTTTTGTTTTTTCAGTTTATGCTGCCCACACTACCCAAAGGTCTCTGGGCGGCTTACAACACAACAAAAAGACAAAACAATTAAAATGAAATTGCCATCAGGACCCACAGCTGATATTATTTCAATTAAAAGCCTTCTGGAACAGGAAGGTTTTGACCTGGTGCCGAAATGTTATCAGCGTCGGCGCCAGACAAATCTCAGTCGGGAGGTTATTCCATAGTCTGGGGGCAGCTGCCGAAAAGGCCCTTTCTCTACAAGCCATCCCTCTCACCTCCTTGAGGGACGGCTCTTTCAAAAGGGCCCCCTGGCTAGATCTTAACTGCCAGGTAGGTTCATATGGAAGGAGGCGGTCCTTCAGGTATCCAGGGTTCAAGCCGTTGAGGGCTTTATATATCAAAACAAGCACTTTGAATTGGGCCCAGGCAGCAAGTGGTAGCCAATGTAATTTAAAGAGAATTGGCTTGGTATGTTCCCTATCGGCCCCACCACTCACCATCCACGCAGCTCGATTCTGGACCAGCTGCAGTCGCCGGACCATCTTCAAAGGCAGCCCCACGTAGAGCACTGCATTACAGTACATTTTGGCACTATAATTATTTTAGTGTTCTTCATCTATTTCCACGTTAACATTGATGGCCTGCACCACCACCTGCTCCTGATCTTGTTTTTGCAGAGAGAGTATAGCTTCTCTAACTTCTGCTTATGATGTTGATTTCAGTATTGGCCATCTGGTAATATCAATGTGTACAATCACCTGTTAGGTTTCCTGAAACATACTACATCTGCAATAAACAAACTGATGGTTTCATGGCACTCTTTTGCTTCATTTCTAACTTCCATGCTGAATTGCCCATGATGTTTAGTTTGGCTTTATTTCTTACTTTTGTACTTTCCAACTTCTGTGATTATCAACATACCCTGTTTTGGTGTGCAACTGGTTTCCTTCTAGACACTTGCATAACAACTTTTGATTTCTTCTTCAGCATCTCTAACAGGAGTGTAGACTTGAATAATAGTTAGGCTGATAGACTTCCCATGAAAGAAAAACCGCTCCTTCTGAGAGTCTTGTCTGCAAAGTGTGTTATGTGCTGTTAAATTGCACCTGACTTCTAGTAACCCTAATAGGATTTTCAAGGCACATGAGATATTTAAGGAGTTGCATGTCTAGTTCCATCTCCAGTGGGTTTCCATGAATGAGTGCGCATTTGAACCCGTCTACTGAGTCCCAGTCTATCACTCTGCTCAATATAACATATTGGCTGTCTCCCTGATGGAACAATTCATAACTGTCTGACTGAAAATATCCTACTCCAGTCCGCTTCAGTCCATTCGCCTTAATTATTATAAAACTTCTCACCACAGAAAGGGAAAAATATAGAACACTTCATGAAAATAAAAATTTTGTGACTCTAATCAAGATTTATTATCAGACACTGATAATAATTCACTTTATTAACATGAAACCCTGGTCTCCTTGGACATTTTCAAGCTTATTTTAAAAATAGTGCATTTGAGGAAAAAATGGAACAATGAATCTGAGAGAAACATGGGTCCTTTCAGTTGGATCCTCCTTTTGTATTTCATTGCTCATTAAATACATCATTTAATTTAATCCCAGTATACACTTCTACCAAGCTACAGCGGAAGTATAAAAGTCTATTAGTGGCACTTTTAAAATGTATGTCAAGATGGTGGGTGTGCACATGCATGTACCTATAACATACTGCTTTGTTGCCTACTGATCTAAAGCAGGGCTGTAGAAAATCCTGAGCTTTGAAAAGAATGAAAACACAATCTGAAATTACTCAGCATTTGTAATATAGATTCTTTAATGGGGAAGTATTGGCAATAGTCCCAACACTTCTTGTGGCTGTAAAGAAAACACAACTTGACAAATTATACTGGAACAGTACTTACATTTAATTACAAGTGAGCCAGATATGTCTGCAAGGAGAAATATTACATTAAAATTGTGTTGCATGATATAATCACCACCACCAACTGTGACTCTAACAATGCACATAACAGCATCATCTGTAATCCGCCTATTTATCGGAACATGCTATTTTAAACATATGCCAGAAACTAAAATGAGGAGCAAAGTAAACACTGAATTGAAACAGAAAGTTCATGGGGAGCTGGGAGTGGCCGTTCTTAAATGTAAGTACTACACCGAGTGCTCCTGTTGTTTTAAAATGGTGGTTAAAGCCCTTGATTTCTAATTCGGAGAGTAAAGAGCTATTCTATCCATTCAAGACTTAGGCATCTTGCTATAAAGGCATACATGTCAGATGCCTCCTCTATAACTTTGGCTGTTGGCTTTCCAGCACCATGGCCAGCCTTGGTGTCAACGTGAATTAGTAGCGGGTTGGTCTGTTTGGGGCTTCGGCCGACAACGTACTGCAGAGTAGCAATGAACTTTAGGGAATGAAGAGGCACCACACGGTCATCATGATCAGCTGTAAGGAGTAATGTGGCTGGATACTGGACTCCATCTCCTTCTGGCACTTTGATATTATGGAGAGGGGAATATCTGCAAGAGAGAGAGAGAGAGACACTTTTGTTTGATGAAGCTGCCTTAGAGACTCACTTTGAAAAACTGCTACTGTTCCATCAGCAGAAGCAGAATTCTAGACTTGCGACATCTTAAGGAGGGGGTTAAGATACATGGGATGAAGAGGTTGGATTTAGAAACAGGAGATCTACATAGTCTTCTGCACCATACCACAGCTGTTAGTTCCACTATGTTGCCACCTAAGATGGGGTAGGCAAGCCTCTGGGGATCTGGGGTCTACTTTTTCAGTCCAGTGGACATTCCAGGGGCCATATCAGCCCCTCCAAATCAAACTATAAGTGACTGGACATCTGATTTTGAAGGTGGGGGTGGGGAATGGCACCTTGTTTTAAAGGAGAATAAATAATCCCAGAAGGATTCCAGAAGTAACAATTCTCCCTATATGCCAAACAAGTTTTGGGCAGTGGGGAAATGAATAGTGGTGCTGGGGCCATATTATATAAATGGTGGGAGGGCATCTGTGCCATGGGCCACATGATTCCCACCCCAGCTGATAAAGGGGGAAAGGGTGACAAGGACACTTTCATCCTGTGGAGATTTATCTTCCTCTTGTGTGCTCAGGCTGAGAATGGAAGGAGGATGAAAACGAGAACTTGGTGTAAACATGGCAAATTCTTTGCTGCAGATGATCAGGAAATGGGGGAGGGGAAAGGCCAATGCTAAAATACCCTTTAAAAATATGTGGTGGAGATAAATTCAGAATGAACACTGTTTTGGCTGTCACAGCTCACAAAAAGTTATAGAGTTGGAGAAGGTACAGAAAAGGATAATTAAAGGAGTCAGGGAATTTGAACATATTTTATGCAAAGAAAAGATAAACCACTTCAGGGCTGCTTGTTCATGGCCCAAATGACTAAGATGGACTTGTGGTAAAGCTTTATAACATTACACAAGATATGCAGAAACTAGAGTGAGAGAAGAGAGTGAGAAAGGTTTTCATAATGCTAGAGCAAATGTGGGAATTATGCCAGTCAGGATCCCTGCACCTCTCTAAATAAAGAGCAAAAGTGGCCAAACACACTGCCAGAGCTTTCGAGGGGGCGTAACTGGCCACTGAAAGATTACTCCACCTCATGTAGGCCACAAACAGCCCTTTAAGAAAGCAAAAACCACCTGAACATTTACAATTTTTGCAAAAGGGGAGAGTGTGGACTGATCAGTACTGGCTAGTACATTGGCTGACAAGATGTGCAACAGGTAATGCTTATTGCAATTTCCTAATTTCCTTCCAAAAGTTACTCCTTTTGCAAAACAGCACAACAGGATTATAGCCACTGCTTTGTACAGCCTACTGGATTTCTTAAAATAAGATGGCTTATTTGGGAAATGTACGATTATAACCATATTTTTAAAACACTTTGTTGTCTTTTACAGTTACTTAAATATTACAGCTTTTATTACTTATTTATTGTTTTCAAAAATATTTTTACCCTGTATTTCTCCTTAAAAGGGACCCAAGGCTACTCAAATCATTCAAAGACAGTATTAACAACCATGAGAATACAAATACTAAAAAGGATGAAACAAATACCATATATAAGCAATACCAAAAAACCTCCAAAGCAATAAGGTACCATAATCCAATTAAAAACTCACTCAGGCTGCCAGCTACTCAGCAGAAAGCTTGCCTGAAGAGAAAGTGGTTTAGCTTTTATTTGCCTGTTTGTGGAAGGACAGTAAAGATAGAGCTAGCCTAGCTTCCTGTGGGAGGGAGTTCCAAAGTCTAGGAGCAGCAACAGAGATGTACCCTTCTCTTCTGTACCCACCCAAAGCAGTTGTGAAAGTGGTAGAAACAAGATAAAAGCTTCTCTTGATGATCTTAACTCTCAAACAGGCTTATAAAGGGGGACGAAGTCCTTGAGATAGCTTGGGCTATTTAGAAATACAGTGGTGCCCCGCTTGACAACGTTAATCCGTTCCGTTAAAATCGCTGTTAAGTGATATCGTTGTCAAGTGAAATAAAAAAAACATTGAAATGCATTGAAAACCGGTTCAATGCGTTCCAATGGGTGAAATACCTCATTTTTCAGCGAAGATCCTCCATAGGGGAAGCCATTTTTGATTGCTATCTTCCGGAAATAGGTCCGGAAAACAGCGGGCAGCCATTTTGAAAACCCGACGACCAGCTGTAAAGGTTGTCGTGAAGCGAAAAATTGGTTCCCGAAGCAGGGAACCGATCGTCATGAAGCGGATTTTCCCCATTGAAACATCATTTTGCGACCACAATAGCAATCACAAAGACCTCATTATTAAGCAATTTCGTTGTCTGCTGGGGTAATCGTCAAGCGGGGCACCACTGTATTCTTCCACTCAAAAGATCAGATAATAGAAATCTCAGTAGAATTCTGCTACTGACTGTTTTCCTAGAAACCACAAGAGCTGGCTGGGAGACGTACATTTGCTAGTCATAATTGTATGGGCTTGGGAAAAAAAACATTCAGCCTGAGATGCCTATGTGCAAGAAATAAGTAATGATGATGATTATGATGATGCATAAGTGAATGGCCTCTGGATCTCTAGTGTGACTTGAAAGACGGATGATTTTCATTTTTTTGCAGTCAGGTTCCCTATTATCGTCATTGGGCATCCAAGGACAATCCAATGTGTATAAACAAACAAGAGCACACTCTCCACTTACTTGTATAGCCATTCAAATTGTTCTTTATAATCAGAGCAGCCAAAGTCTGTTGTCCAGGCATGACCAATGGTGAATTTGTGGAACTTCAGCATGTCCATCACTCCGACTTGAGCAATCACGCAGCCAAATAGATCTGGACGCTGATTGGCGCAGGCAGCTTCACAAGGAGGGAAACCAACAAACCCATGTATTAATTCTGATGTCTTAAATAGCTATTAGTACTGCAAATAGCTCTCCCTGATATCTGCAAATAACTCTTTACCAGATCAGTTTCTTGTTTTAGTACCAAACCAAAAGTACCTTGAAAAAAGTAGGCTATGACCCAGAAGCTCTTGCATCAACACTGGAGAGAGAAAGAAAGAGTGCATGCGCACAACGCAGTTGCCCTGGAGCCTAACTAGACACGACAAAACTCCACTTCTGAATTTGAGAACATGGAACGCTACGGCAATAGATATTTTGCTGCCTGAAACAAAGGGCAAGCACTCCACCCTCTATTTCATCCCTGTAAGGTGATGTTCAACACTGGCACTGGGATGGCAGGCAAGTTTATGGATACACATAGAGCCACATGACACAAATAGCTTTGTCCCTTAAGAGAGGGAAACACCCCTGGGGCTCAGATCAATGCTTTACTCTGTGCCTAGCAATAGGGCCAGCCTTGCTAAACAAATAGTATAAACCTTAGAACAGAAGATAATTTCATGGCAACAATAAGCATCTGGGAGCAAGGGGAGGAAGAACATTGGTTTATTTTCACTGGGATGGGCAACAGGGGCCCTGCAGATGTTGTTGGCCTACAATACCCAACAGCCCCAACAAGCATAGTCAATACTGATGGATTATGGGAGTTGCAAACCAAGATCTGGGCAGCCACAGTAATCCACACTTTGCCTGAAAAATCCTGCCCTCACCAGGCCTTCAAAATGGTTTCTGTGGAAGGGAAGGGGGGGGATGTTAAGAAAAAGGATGTTGTGGGGTACACAAGCTCCCTCCTCCCACCCAATAAATAGAGTATACCCATAGAATTAATGAGACCTGGCGAGTCAATACTAATGCAAGTCCACGAGCACATTGGTGCCACTCCAGTTATGACTAGAAATTGGATACAGTTGACTGGGACTTAAGTATAACTAAATGTGGATGTAAACCAGTATGCCTTCCGGAGGGGCTGGTCTTCCCCTGGCTCCCTTCATTTGCTTGAGGAGAACAAAATGGAGGCTAAGATATTTAAGGCCATCTTTCCTAATGCAACATTTTTTAAAAAATTAACTGAAGTCAAGCACCTCTAAGGATCTTTTGTGAATTCAAGCTAAAGTAAGTGAAAGTCATTTCTTTTAGTACAAGTATTACACATGGGTATTCATACATTGCTTTGAAAAAACTGGAAGAGCAGACTGAAGTCCTGCGGAGAGCAAGAAGGCCAAGATGAATCGTTATTTTTTTTTTGCTGGTACGCACAGGGATAATTTCAGTACTGAAGCTGAAGAATTTATTCAGTTTTGAGACATTTCATGGCATGCCTGCTGCTTTCCCCTCAAAATACGAGTAATGCTACTCACTTTAAATCAGTGGATTTGATGAAATATGAACACTGCCAATTCTCTGTAATGACAAAATGGCTGGCACAGATCTTTTCTTTACAAAAGAAAGACCACGAACATATGTTCTTCTTCCAAACCCTTGATCATTCTGCTTTGCTTATCTATATCTATAATCTACATCTATACCTACTTACAAGCATCTCTCTCTCTCTCTCTCTGTCTCTCATCCTTGAGGTTTTTTTTAAATGGCTGCGAGAATCATTCCTTGCTAGCTGTGCTGACAATGAGCTAGACAGATGTCTGCCCTCTCACCAGACGCTCCAGATGTATCTGGAAGACTATATACTTAGGCCATACAACAACTAATGTTTTTGGAACTAGTAGGAATACTCACATAATAGCTGTTCTAACGAAAAGCACATTGTCTTTCTCCTTTGGAGTGTTCTTTTTAAATGAACACTGTACTGATTAATCTTGCATGATATCACCGGACATGCCATTGTGCATAAAAGGACTGAAAGTTGATCATCTCCTAATCAATGTCCTAGAGAAACCTTTGTTTTTAAATTATGGGCCATCAAATTGCTTCCAACTTAGAGAGACTCTATGAATGACCGATCTTCAGAAAGATCCGTAATTAGCAGCAGTGCTCAGATCTTGCAAACTAAAAGTTGACTCAAGGCCATGAGCTCCTTCTTTTCAGTCAAGAGATATCTTTAGCTGTAGTTGATTGGGAAGCTTAAGAAAGCTTCACTTAAAAGGGGATGGCTAAGAGAAAACAATTAACAGCATCCTGAAATCAGTGCTGGCTAGTTATTGATATATGCTGGCCCTCCTATCCCAAACCACTTTTTTTCCTTCCAGTTATCCTCCACCTGATACTCTCCAGAGCAGGGTTTGATGAGTGTTGCTGTTCAGCATGTTCATATTCACATCTGCCCAGAGGGGAAAGGCTGATATAGTTTGCATATAGCTAGTCTGACCTTTCAGGAAGAACAGACAGGTGCCTCAGACTAGCAGTAAATAATGCAGTTCATAAGGGCTCCCTGAACTGGATGCCTGGTATTCTCCAAGTCTAGAGCACATGCGGGTGCAGAGCTTACTACCTGATTCCGTACACAAGTGTTGTGATGGTAATTGCCCCTCCCCCATGAAGGTCTTTAGAAAACAACTGTTTGAGCCTTCTACCCAAGTAAGTCCCAAAACTTAGGCAAAAGGCACAACTCTGTTCTTACCAACTAAGAGGCCTCCATTTGAACCTCCATTAATAGTCAGCTTCTTTGGCGATGTATATCCTTCTTTGATAAGATACTCAGCTGCATGCTGGAAGTCATCAAAGCAGTTTTGCTTGTGGGCCAAGATACCACCTGAATACGCACCCACAAATAACAAGAATCCAGTTAAACCCTTTACACATAGAGACAGACATTCAGAATGGGTGCCCTTGTGCGCGTGTAGAGACAAAAAGCACTGCCTGGGATGGGTTTTCAGCTCCACAAGCATTTTAATAATTGATGCCGTTGGGAACACAAAAAAACAATGAAGATCTTTTTCCAACAGAGAATTTGGGAGACAGTTCTGCCAATAACTTTAATGCTTTCAGAAGCTCTGAATAATACATACCTTTGCTGAATATTAACACCACAACATCAGGTAATAGTCCTACTAACTAATCCTAGCTAAAAGCTTCGTACTGCAGATGAACTACCCACATGCATTTTTATAGATGTTTATCTAGCTTCTTAATTAAAAAATTTAGTATTCAATTTGTCTGTGATCTTTTAAGAAGTACAGCTTCATAAACTAGTTCTTACAAAAAAAAAAAAGTAAAAGTGTACTGTTCAAAATAGGAAAACAAAAACTTGGTATCAGATATAGAACCAGTATATGCTGAGTTTCATTTGAATTGACCTGTGCCTAATAAATGCCAGATCATAATATGGAGATTGGCTGTTTCTTTGAAATGTGTCTCCATTTCTCTTTTTCTTTTTCCCTCTCCCTCTCCCAATTAGCTTTGTTTGTTCTGTTGCAGGAAAAACAAAAGACGCATGGCATTTTTAGCACTAAGAAATATATTACAGCATAAGCTTCTGTGGCTTATCACCCACTTCGTCAGATTCAAAAAGCGTTAACCAGAATGTCAGTTGTACCTACACTACGTACGGTTGGGAAGGACAGGCTGCCTACCTGTAACAATGGTCATCTTTGAACTCACACATGGGTCAGAGTGCCTGTGTGAGGTCCTGTTCAGAAGCTTCTAGAATAGAAAGTTCTCTCTCTCTCTGTCATGACCATATTGGAAGACTTCACAGTTGCCTTTTCATTCCTGATTCTCTGTAAGGCAGTCATAGCTGGCCATGACCCTCAGGAGATGAGTGGGTTGTGTTAGTGTCACAGATGACCATCTGAAGAACCACAGTTACAGGTAAGCGACCTATCCTTCTTTGGTGTCATCAGAGTCCTTCAATGGCGAGAAAATTTGTAGCCACCATTATGCTATCTTTTGACAGGGTTTTGCAAATCGGGTTCAAGGATATTTTCAGCTGAAGACAGGCTAAGTAGGCAGCCTGAAGGGATTGCTTCCAGAGAAAGAGTTTTAATTTGGAAACTATTCTGGCAGGGCTACCTTGCGGACAGGGCTCCGAGCAGTAGTGGTCCCGGCCCAGGCAACAGAGGTATGTTCGTTGCAGGCGGTGCGTTTCTTAAAGAGGTGGCTGGGGCCATAAAAAGGGATGGGTGCTTATACTGCAATATAACATTTTTAAGATTAACACAGGATTCTTTGCCATTTTACACATAGTAACTAAACGAGTTGCGCAGAGACGTCTGTGTATCATTGCGCAAGCTCTGCACTACAAGCAAACAACGACATGCCCAGTTACATACCCAACCACACAGCAGATGGCAAGAAAAAGGGGAAAACTACTTGCATGGCTTCCCCCAATAAAATGCTGATCATGTATGTCTCATATGCATGTTGTCTGCTACAACCCTTTCACAATTATGCTATTCTCTCAAAATGGCTTCCTAATGGTTTAAGCAGTTTGTTTGATCTGTACTGCTTTACCTTCAGTGTACCAGTCTGGAGTTCATTTAGACTACTTCAAGCACAGGTCTTTGTTTTGTCCAAGCACAGTCAATAGGCTGGTTCCTGGTTATTTTATGTTTGCATTCTATTTATATGCATTTACATGGGAATTCAAAATATCTCAGCTTGGATTCAAAGGTTAGATGCAGCAATCTTCATTATAGCTGCTTGTACCTCTCCCAAGTTTCTTCTAAGAGTTGGATGATGATGCCCTGGAACACGATAGCACAGGAGAAGGGAAGCCCTTTATGTGGAAGTGTCTTCTGCTCACCACCCAGAAGCACGGTGGATCCAAGGCACAGTGCAGAGATATTTTCTTCTGAAGATGCTATGACCTTTTGGATTACACATGACTAACCTAATACTAGAAAACTCTACTGTTCCCATAACACTCTGAATGTCTCCTTCATCCCTCTGATAACAAGGCAAATCTCTCGTGAATGAAGTAACTGGCTTGACTAAATACTCTGATTGCCACCTATACAATTGTCATATGTCTGGTCTGCCACTCCATGCTAGCATGTGAAATATTTTTAAAAAGATCAAAAGTAGCAAAGGCTATCGGGAAAGCCTTGACATGCGTGACATTATTTAGCATAACTGGTTCTGAAAAATGCAAATGTGCTATTAGAGGAGAAAAAGGAACAGAGAGGAGATACACCTTATGCTTTATATGAAGCATCAAACACTCTTTCAAAAATATAGGGTCAGGTGCTTTTCAAGCGAACCAAGACCACTGTGCCGAACTCACTTGGCACCAGAAATAATTGTCTATGAAATTAACAAACAGCAGACTTCTAGCTAATGCCAATTTACAGTCTGCGGTGCAAATTAAACTTGGAAATAGGAAAACAGTCCTCTGACATAAAAGTAAATTTTATTAAAAACTCATTAAAGCTCTTCAGCTAATTTCCTGTTACAGAAGAACACTTTGTCTTTGGCAATAATGCTACAGACATCTTGGCATGCATGCTTTATCTTTTTGAAAATCGGTGGATCCCGTCTCTGAATTACTGGGAAACACTCTATAGTACAGAGAAACCATTAAAATAATATGAAACCAAATTGTAAAAAGGCAACCTGGAAAATGCAAGAAATAATTAATGGGACATTATTTAAAGATTATTCAAAAAGGCCCTTAGAAAAGGTACAATGGAAAACAAAACGTTTTCAAAAGATTTTTGAATTAAAAGTTATAACACTTTCAAATAAATGGGTGATGGAGTTACATGAAATTCAAATTAAGGTCATAACAATCAGAGCTACTCATTTGTTCAGTTTAGGTACCTAAAAACATCTTAGAATACTTCCTTTTGGTTCTTGCACCAAGAAACCCTTACCTTTGTGCCAAGTCTCTCCATATTCACCACCTCCTCGGATATTAGCCACAGCTAGAATACCACCCAGGTGTCTTATAAAAATGAGCCTTGAAACACTGGGGGAGGGGGAAAAAGCAAAAAGGCAAATGAATATCTGAATCTTCAGGATCTGGCCTCTAGTTCTTCTCAGTGACAAAAATATAGGAAAAGTACATTTCTATTCTGGTGTAGATCTATGCTGATGGAGCTTCTAATGGGTGTATTGGAGGAGGGAGTTGTGATGGATATCCCCCAACTCAACAGCTAACAGGAAAATACTTTCCTCGCATCCAGCTCCCTTCTGGTCAGCCATCCTGCAGCTTTAGATTTCAGTACTTTTTGGGTACAGGAAGGTACAGAGGTCTAGGGAAGGTTTTGTCAGCATCATAATCATTTGTTAGCATTGTATTTACTTGCTTGCTACTCACCCATCTTTAATTTCTGCTACCTGATTGCTCAGTATGCTTTTACCACAGATCAAAGTTAACACAATAAAGCAAAAGATCTACCACTACTGACAAAAGATGTCTGAGTCACTGATCATCCCTAAACACTGTTATCAACTAGGACCTTTACAGCTAGAATTCATGTTCTTGAAGGGAAATTGCTTTGATGAAGAAGCCCTGCTATCAAATGATGCTGGCAAATTAATGGAGTATGACATACACAGAGAAAGAACAGGGGGTGCTGATAAGCATTGAGCCTTCCCCAGAAAAAATTGAGCTAGGAAGCTGTAACTGCCACACTATTCCCCAGGAAGTCATCTGCAACATCTGTCCTACAGCTTCTTAAGTCCCTGCAAATAAAATTCTTCCAACTGCTGGTGTAACCACTCATTTGCAGCATTAGTTGCCTCCAGAACACTCCCAGATCGTTGTCCCTTTAGGTGTTATCTGAGTTTGGGAAACAGATAATAGTCAGAAGGAGCCAGGTCGGGAGAATAGGGTGGATGGGGCATCACTTGAAAGCCTAAAGATGTCAGTTTTGCCATTGTTTCACTTGCAGTGTGTGACGAGGTGTTGTCATGCAACAGGATGACACCTTTGGAGAGCTTTCATCAATGTTTTTCCTTGATGTTTTGCCTCACTTTTGTCAATAAAGCACAGTAATATTTTGCATTGATGGCTGAACCCTGTTGGAGGTAATCCACCAGCAGAACTCCCTTCTTAACCCAAAAGTGTTGCCATTTGCTTCTGCACCGACCTTTGTACTCGGATCCTCTTTGGCCTGCAACCACTATGCCTCCATTCCTTAGACTGCTCCTTTGTCTCAGGATTATAACAATAGATCCATGTCTCATCACCAAAGCTACCAATTTGCCCAGGAAATCTGACTCATTTCTTGCAAAATGTTCCAAAACAGCCATCGATGACTCCACACATTTCCTCCTTTTGTTCGGTTGTCAAAAGTTTGGGGATCTACTTTGCTGCCAGCTTTCTCATTTCCAAGTCGTTGTGGATAATGGCACAAACTCTCTCATGTGATATTCTCAGATATATAGCAATACTTTTGGCTGATATTTGGTGGTCCTCCATGATCATGTCCTGGATGGCTTTCACATTTGCAGGCACAGAGACAGAAACAGGTCTTCCACTGGGTTTCTCACTTTTAACACTGAAATGGCCAGTTTTAAAATAGACAACACAGCGTTTAACTGTTGCATATGAAGGGCCACTGTCACCCGTAGTTTCTGACATTTCATCATGGAATTGCTTTGCACTTTTCCCTTGGATAAACAGGAACTTGATTATGGTCCTATGCTCTTCCACACTGAACTTTTCTGGAGGTGCCGCCATGTTCATTTTGGACCAGAAAATGAAGTTAAGTTAAAATCATAGGTAGTTGATTTTTGCACCACTGAATATAGACAAACTGGCCAATACACCCTGCAATTTATAGCTTCCTAGCTCATTTGTTCTGGGAAAGGCTCAATACTTATCAGCACCCCCTTGTACAAGAAGAATTCCGTTCTTAAAAAAAAACACAACGGTTTATGAATGTGGGATATTGTGATTTTGATCATGTCTCAAAAACCCAAGAAATGGCCCTATATTGCTATGTAATATCATGCTCACAATGCCAGCAGAAAAATGGATGCCAAGCTTTACATAGTGAAGGACAGCCTGAATGTTGACAACACCAATGGCAGCAGTCAAGTTCATCTACACAACAAGCTCTTGAGCTCGCTACCATAGATAAAATTGACAACACCAATGGCAGCAGTCAAGTTCGTCTACACAACACGCTCTTGAGCTCACTACCATAGATACAGTGACACCACATAAGGGAAAATCCCAGAAGGTGACTTCTGTTCTCATCAGTTAGCCACTTCTCACCCAAACTAAAGTAACCCACATAAGGGAAAATCCCAGAAGGTGACTCCTCATCGGTTAGCCACTTCTCACCCAAACTAAAATGTCAGGCCTGTTTTCCAACAAGTATGAATGTCAGAGCTATTGAGCTAGCCCTTAGTTCTATACCCTTAGGCTACTTGTTAGCCTAAGTGTTAATTGTAAATTACCAGGCTTAAGTGTGTGTGTATGTGTGTGTGGGCTTAAGTGTGTGTGTGTGTTTATATGTGTGTATTAACCACCAGATATGTTGCTACTTAAAATATATAAATCAGATAATGAATTTTGTTTAATGAATTATTATTAAATAAATTAGCCTGAAGAAATAAAATTGATTTTCTCAGTTGAATAATCTTTTATGGGAGAAAATAAGGTTTAAAATCACATACATCTTGATCAAGTGCTGAAAAATTATAATGATAAAAAAAGTAAAAATATACAAAAAAAGAAGAAAATTAGTTAAGCAGGCATTTTGGCCTTGCCCCTTGATACTGGAGCACAGCCCGAGTAGCCAAGCATTTTTTAAAAAATGGTTCTCAGTCCTACTGAGGCTACCCACACTACCTTGAAGAAACAAAACCAAATAATTATAGCTCCATATAATTACCCTGCATTTTATGATAACATTACACAAATGTAAAAGTGGGCGATACCTTTTATTGGATCACTTAAAAAATCAAACAAATTGCAAACTTTCATAGAGGAAGCCTACTTCTTCAGTCTAAGCACCATGGATAGTGTAGAAAAATTGTAGACAAGAGTCTAAAAATTGATGGTAGATCCCAGACTTGGCTTCTCACAGACTTCTACCATCAATCTCATCAATTTTTGGATTCTTGCCTACAATTTTTGTGCACTTTCCATGGTGCTTAGCCTGGAGACGTAGGATTCCTCCATGAACATTTGTGATGTGTTTGACTTATTTACTGGTCCAATAAAAGGTATCACCCACACTTACAACTGAGTAATCTTGAGGACCACATGGTCTTTTCCTTGCTCTTAAAATAACATGACATTTTGCTTACAGAAGCTACTCCAATTGTCAGGATTCTGGAATATACTAACCATGAAACACTGAAGCCGAACCATTTAAATAAGGTATTAATTGATGGTACAATGCCACAAAGAGGCTTACAGCCTCCACTTTAAACTTAATATGATTTACACTCTAATTTACACAAGAGGAAACAAAAGCACAGATGGCAAACACTGTTTGCCATGGGTATCAGTATCTAAGGGGACAACATGCAATAATGTTTTCTGGTTCTCCAGCTGAGCTCAGCATGAAGTTTGGAAAGTCTGAAGCCTAAATATTATGCTGGTGTTTTGAAGTCCATTTTACCACCATCTACAAATGACATGGTTGTTCTTTGCTTCTGGACTGATGACTCACTCATTTGGGTTTTATTGTCAGGTTGAATTTATAAACGCATGGCTGAGCTGCTAGTTAAGAGACAGACCAACAAAAATGGAAAAAGACACCAAACAAAGACAAAATCACTTGGGATACGGATAAGATCAAACTTTTTTTTTCCTTCTGGTAATGTGGTTCAAGGAATATTCTAAGGACTTTTTTTTGGTTTTTCTTTTGGTTATCCATAATGTAAGCATGCAAGCCTGTAGTAATACTGAGACCCTATGACAACCTGCTGGAGGACAGTGCCATGCCTCATCTAGGAGAGTCTTTCTTGGAATATAAAGGCCAGGATGACATGACTCAGGTGGATGGAAAGGGGCAGAAGAGCTCAAAAGCCCTGCTGGCAGCCCATCCCCACAGTCACAGGAGGTGGAGCCCGGTGCTTCCAGAGTGCACCCATCCCTTCCAGATGAGGATGCCAAAGCCCCAGAGAACAAACATCTCTCATCAGGACAGCCAGGCACCTCTGAGAAGAAACACTCATCTACTTCAAAGACATCACAACTGTAGAAATCAATCGAGTAGCTGTGGCTATGGAAGAGAAACACACATGCCATGGCTAGATAAATCCACAGCCCCAAGACCAGCCCAACTGCTGAAAACAGTAGTAGTTGGATGTAGTCCTCAATTGTCTGGTGCCTCAAACAATGTATGTGAAACATTTTAGGGAAAAGAAGGAAAGGGGCTGGGGGGGAAAGCATGTGTTTCCTTCTTCCCATTAGCTGATTCTCATCTTCCTGGCATCAAACCCCATACTAGTTTGGCAAACCAAACAGGGAGCAGCCGGAATTAAGGGAAGCAGACATTCTGCTTCTGGCCAACAGAATATCATGAAGGCAGGAAGAGAAGGAAGCTGAAAACTGTGAGCAAGGAATAAAATAGGCAAAACTGGAGAAACATACATTGTTTGACGCACCAGACTATTGAGGACTACATCCGACTACTAATCCCAGTAAGAGGAGATACCTGAGGCCAGAAAATACTATTAAAAAACAAGCAAAGGAAGCCCAAAGTCTGAACTTAAGAGTGATGCAAATTAAACAAAAGACTTTTAAATATAATCAGAATTGTACAGACAATTTGAGGTGGTAAAGGATTAAAGACAAGTGAACCTACGAGAGGGTCAAGTAGGTAGGTAGCAGTAAGAGAAGCTGTACTCCTAAAATTTGCTCTCCGAAGGACTGAGCAGTGGAAGCCTATCCTTGACAACCTGAATAGCTGAGAACCTAAGTACCACAACTCTATATGAAGGTCCAGGGAAGGATTCAATCAGATTTAAGGCAATTTCTCCAGGACATTTTAAGAATATACACTGAGAGTTTACAACAACATTCACTTGTTGTTGGTTGTTGTGGGTTTTTCAGGCTCTTTGGCCGTGTTCTGAAGGTTGTTCTTCCTAACATTTCGCCAGTCTCTGTGGCCAGCATCTTCAGAGGATAGCACTCTGTGCTCTGGTGTAGTTGGCTTGGGAGTGCAGTATTTATGGCTGTGAGATCGGCTTTTGTCTTTTTCTGTAGATGGGTGATTAGTGTGGATTGTTGTGGGTGTATTGTTGTGCTAAGGAGAAGAGATTATCTGTTCCTGTGGTTGATGGGTGTCATTAGCTGGTCTTTTGTGTGTAGTGATCCCCTGTCCTTGTGGCTGGGTAGAGTTCGTTGACCTTTTGCACACTGTATTTTTGAGAGCTGTATGTTGAGAGCTGTTCACTTGTTGCTTGGAAAAGTAAAGCAGGATATTTGTTGACTCAGTTATTTACCTATTATAAAAAATTCAACTTGTCATATGGCTGGAAGCAGCTCTCAAGGTCTTTTAGGGTTGGATGTAGCCCTCAATTTAGGGACTTCGAGGATTGTCTCAGCTTTGAGACTTTCCCTCATAGTTACACAAAGATTCACTGGCCAGAATACTGTTGGTCTAGGTGTAGTGTTAACTTTAGGCCTATGTAAATGTGCTGGGTATTGCCTAATGAGAGTTGCGCAATCAGCTGTCTGTTTCCAGTTTCAACCAATGGTGCAATGCAACTGCTGAGGTGCTTGGCGAATGGCACTTCTGTCTTGGTGCAATGAGCATTGCAGCAAGCTACTTAAGTGGAAAATGAAGGCTTCTGTTTTGGCTAGCTATTTCTACACATAAGAAGAGTTGTGCTGGATGAGACCACAGGCCCAATGTAGCCCAGCATTCAGTCTCCCATAGTTGATGATACAGATAGGAAGCCACCAGCAGGATTAAGGCAATAGCTTTCTCTTCTGCTGTTATATCCCAGCAGCTGCTATTTGGAGGGATACTACCTCTAAGACTGGAATAAATACACAGCTGTCTGTGACCACTGATGGCCCTGACATGAATTCGTCTTAGTTGTCTTTTGAAGACACCTAAGTTGGTCCCCATCACATCTTGAAGAACCAGGCTCCTTGGTTTAACTATGCTCTCTGTAAAGAATTACCTACTTTTATTTGTTCCAAATCTTCCACCAATCAGCTTCAGTAGGTGGCCCCAGATCACAGTATTATCGAATAGTTGTGCTATTATATGTGTATAATACAAAAACATGGACATCTCTGATGCGTCTTTTTTCTCTCTAAACTGATTGGTGATTAGCCTGATTACTTTAGCTAACAATTTATGCTGCTTTTCCAGTTCCGTAAAATCCCTTTTAATATATGGCAACCTGAGAATATTGAGCAGAACAAACAGCGTGAAGTGAAATTCAATTTTCTTTGAGGCTTTACTGCAGTACTCCTTAGTTTTAAATTCAACTTACGTAACAAAGCAGGCAATCTCCTAGCACAAGATCCTGTGCACTTTTATTAGTTTACATATTTCATGAGCTCCCAACTCTCTGCTTACCTGTAGCTTGGTGTGATAGATATGTTGAAGCCACCATAACCGTAAAGAAAGGCAGGAGAAGACCCATCTAATTTGATTCCTTTTTTGTGGACAATAAACATGGGGATCTTTGTACCATCTTTGCTGGGGTAGAAAACCTAGGACATAGAGGGGAAATATGGAATATCACTAGAAGGGAATGCATTTGCAAGAATATTAGTGCTAGACAGCCATCATCCTGTACAAAGGGAAGTAAGAATGGAAGACAGTGAAATTATGCTGCAAGAAATCTTAATGTAAGAATCACATTACCTGACATTTGACAGTTACATTGCTAGAAAACATACTACCCCAAGTAAAATGAAACTGTAGCAGTTTATTAACCTGAAAGAGCTTTAGATTCCATCTCCAAAAGGCTACTGTAAAATAAATTAGAAGAAAAAACATCTTTGGGAGGCAAAAGACTGGGTTTTTTAAAATTCATAATCTTTATATACAAAAAAGCCCCCAGGTTCCTTGTGGCCTTTGGGTTAAAGGCTGTAAGGCCACTAGTCCATAACAAGAAAAGGCAGTAAAAGAGGACTGTATTTTGGCTTCCTCTTTATTTTTCAGTGATCAGGAAACACGGTTTAGATGATGGAAGGTCACTTGCCAAAGCCTTGCTTAAAGGAAGCCTCACTCCTGTTGCACTCAGGTTGTGCAGTGACCAGAAAGAGGGAGCATGATGAGCAAAATGCAGACCTACTCCTGCTCTTCTGAACTACTTGCACTGACCACCTTTCCCTATTATAGCCGCAATGGGAGACCAAAGTCACATTTTCATGTGTGAGATAGGGTCCCAATTCTTCAGTTCTAAGATATATTATATATTCACTGAATGCTTACAGGAAAAGGATGGGACCGGATTTGCTCTCCAAAGCAGCTGTGAACCCTCTATGACCAAGGCTCCCAATTGTACTCATGATATGTAGAGCTCTCTCGTGCATTCCACTGAATAGTTACTGATGATGATGCTCTTGTTCCAGGGCTCAGTCTTCTTAGGACAATGTGTGTGGTTACAGACATAGGAAGGTGAAGATGCTGTCGCACTCTGGCTGAAAATCTTGCTGCTCAAGATAGGAAGTCACAATAGACTTCATTGAACCAGTGGGGTTTTGGTCAGACCACATCTTTGTAAGCTCCATGATTCCAATGGACCGTCTCTACTTACTACACTAAAGCAAGTCACAGTTAGAGTAGGCCGCTTGATTCAGTGGAACATATGGAGCAGTTAACTCACCAAATCGCCCACTGATCCAATGGGCCAATACTAAGCAGCAGGATTTCCCTTAACCAACTCAGTCACACCTTTTGCTAATCCTTTCTCTGCCTCTTTTAAGTCTTCTACCTGTGCAAGATTCATGTGTTTCCTCAGCGTGTTTGATTTGGCTTTGACTTCAATGGCCAGTGTCCTGTGCAATATTTTCACACATGTGGAATTCCAACTGCATAAGCTACCGGAGCTGGAGTCCCGAAGGCAGCATGTGTCGTTCTGCCAACTCCTGCGACATTGCTGGAACCAGTTGTATTGGCTCTTGCCTTTCCATTGGATCATTTCAGCAATGTGGAGAGGGGGGATCTGCTGCTTGGGTAACAGCCTATCCTCCATATTACCTTACCCGGGCTTCATGCTCTGGAGAGGACACTCCTCGATTCAGAGCATGTTACCATAGTCTCTTGAGACTGAAGGATGCCTATACATAAGCTACCATGGTGCTCTGACAACATGTGAGTCATATGTGACCAGGCACACACAATCTGCACATTGTCCGATCACCATCACAACTTCCACAGATGGAGTTTCACATGCATAAATACTGAACACGGACACTAGACAAAATGTTAACATTCTGTTTTCGAACCAGATCTTCTCTTTACTTCTTCATTCTATTTAAATTTAAAGCCGCAAGATTTTTTAGTGGAATAAGTAAATGACTGAAACAGATCATGTATAATTTCCTACAGGAGACCAAAACCTCTGCCTGAACAAAAGTTTTTTTGACTTGCGTCTACAATCTAAGAGAAATGTGAGCAGTGACGTCCTTCTTTTGGTAGGGCACATAAACAGACCAGCAGAGCCTTCAATGCCAAGACCCTGCTATGACTTGTGGAAGCGGTTGCTTGAGCACAGGCTCCCCTATTTCTGCAAACATGTGGGAATGCACACATGGGGAAAGGAACTTGCCTAAAACAGGTTAAACTCAGACTGTGTTGAGCAATTTGAATAGTCATCTAAAGTTTCCCAAACAGAATGCATTTTAAATGAAACTTCTTGTGCTCCTTTTAAATGTCTTTTCCTATGGAAACGGAAACACCTTCTATCTTTACTGGAATACAGCACCCACTGGTTACTATGCAAAAGTTAGTATGAGCCAGAGCTATTTCTGTAGCCAGTTGATAACTCCAGGGGGACTGCAGCCCTCTCTCCCTCCCCCTTGTGATATGAAATTAATATATTTATCCTCACACCCACAGTTTGTAAAACTGAGTGCCAAACATCACTACTGCGTTACGAATTAGCTTTTGCTGAACTGCAGCTACACATTTTAGAATTGGGAGTGGGGAAAAGGAATGCAGTGGGAGTGAAGGGAATTGCTAAAGCTGCTATGGCACACATTCCAAAATCACTTGCTATTTCTGGTCACACTGCACGCAGCAGGTGACAAGAAAAACTTCCAGGCCCGTCTTGAAAGCACTTCGCTTTATCTGGCCTTTAACAGAAAGCCTTGTACACAGAGTAAGCTGCAACACAACTGAGGCTTTCTGAAACGTGAAGAGAGAACAAGCAAGGAATACACTGCCATCACCCTCTCTGTTGTCTGTTCCATCACCCTCTCACCCAGGGAAGGTGTGAGTTATGAACAGAACTGTTCTGTTTACTGTAGGTTTTCTGTGTAATTCTGCATAGCCTTCTCATCAGAAATTCAACTACTGTACAGGACAATCTGGGAACTGAGGAACGCTACTGCTGTCAGTTGTTAATTTACAAATATTTGCTAGTGCTCAGTAGGCAAGATAGTTTGTTTTAGGAAAAAAATGGTTTTAGGAAAAAAATGGAATGATGAACTAGAAACCTGTTTCTCCTAATCAATGGACAGAAATTTTGGCTGTGTATCTGCCATATCAATGGATTTAAAATCGCAACTCATGCAGCAAAACTTTTAGCTTTCTTTATACTGGACTCCATAATGTTCAGTCAGTGAAGATTTTACTATGCTAGCTAGCTGCTTCCCTCATGTGCCTTTTATAGGCTTTGACTGAGAGACGAGCAACGGTAGCATCACGTTAAATTAATTTTTAAATTAAACTTGTTTTGACACAATTGTTGGATTTTACTGATTAGCATGTGCTTTTACATTATTTCCCTGCATCTTAAAATTTCTTCTGGTTTTAGTACCACTAGAACCTTCATTACTTTTTTCACAATCATAAGACTTTTCCCCCCAGTAACATTATAGATGTTTGTCCTGCACCTTTGCTAGCACTGATGTCCAAATGTAGTAAACTTCTCCACACTCGTCTATCAAGAGCCACAGACAAGGATGTCCTCCAGAACAGTGGTCCCCAACCTTTCCTGAACCGTGGACCGGTTGGGGGGGCAGGGTCCATGCGAGAGGAGCAGGGCGTGCTTGCGACGGGGCAGGGTTTGCTTGTGTGCATGCATGGAGGGGTGCGGTGCACTTGCGTGCATGTGCAGAGGGGCAGGGCGTGCTCATGGAGGGGTCGGGCATGTGGGTGGGCGGGCTGTGTGTGCATGTGGGATGTGTGGGGGGAGTGCATGTGGGGGGTGGGAGATCTGTCTCTGCAGCCTGATCCTGCCACGACCACAGACTGGCACCGGGCAGAGGACTGGGGGTTGGGGACCCCTGCTCCAGAAGTCTATCACTCTGAATTTTCAACTTCAATTTATTCCTGACCCCTAATACATTTCTTGAGAGGAGAAAAATTTACATAACATTCTACATAATTGTTCAATAAGCCGGTGCTAAGGAATGCTGTTACACTACAAGTCAATTACCTCTGGTCAACATAGCCAATCTCCACCTTTTCCTCCTTCTCCACCAGATGTTGCATGACATCATGGCTGCAGGCTACAGTACTGCTAAACAGTGCTGTTGCATCCAAATCTGTCCCCTACGTTTTTTAAAATTTTCTTTCCTGCACTTCTTTCCCCATGTAATTCAACTTGAACAGCTATAACAGTCTGTAATTATCTGCATTAAGTGACCAACATATTCTAGCTTCCTGCTTCTTATGAGTTCTATTATTTCTTGTTCTTTATTTATTCATCTTAGTACATCTGCGCTGGTGACCAATTCCAGCCAATTCTTACCATCTTATGCTACAAACACTTTCAAGTGCTTCTTCCTTATTTTTAATAACAGTTTGTGTTTATATCCACAGTATTATACCAAGCAATAGAAATGAGAATACATAGCACTGTGCAACATAAATTCTCAAATTCAGTGCTTTATTGAAACAAAGTGCTCCACTCCATCTCTCTTGTGACTTATTTTGCTTCTGGTGTTCATCTTACCAAATTCCAAGGTGCTCATCATATTTGTTAAAATGTCCATACTTTCATTTTGAATTTTTAAGTGCACTTCTGGGCTGCTTATTTTTTTCACTGACCACTACCAACTTAGTTTTCTTAACATTCATTTTAGACGATGTTCCTTTCTTAATTCTTTGACTTCAATGAGTTACCTTTGAAGACCATTTGGTGTTGTTTACAGTATCAACCCATTAGAGCTGGAATATGATGTGGTTAATGGCCCATGTTATATTGTACTTAACAGGCTCCATTGCATTTGCAATTTTAAAAGCAATTTTAAAAAAGGTCCTTCCAAACTTAAGACCCTAAGCTATAACTTATTTAGCTTGCATGTAAATCCAGCACTGCAAGCAGCCTATCCCCATGGCTTTGCTAGGACGGACATTTCAATAAAAGAACAGCAGCCTGGGCTAATTAGCCCTTACAGCCAAATACTAAGGCTTCATGAATGTGAGACTGTTATGTGCGGAGATAAATAAAACAAAGCTATTTTGGAAAAATCACAATATCATTATAAATAATCAAGGAAGCCTTTAGGAGAGTTCACTTCACCAGCTACCCGTG